AAAGATGGATTTGAAAAAAGAAACCATTACGTTGAAGTCTTAAAGTGAAAACTCTGTTCCAGCTGGGTCCTTAGAAAAGCCCGGACACATGGACAGAAGACGGGGCAGCTAACGTGGATGGGGAGGGAGGCAACAGGCAGGCAGGTTGCAGAGAGATAGCAGTCTGTCCGTGGGGGGATGCTGGGGGCCAGTGACACACCCTGCCTTTCCCTAGATGCCTAAGGCTCCAACCAGCCCTCTCCACCAAGGCCCCTCCCTCAGCAGTGGTGCACCCCCCCCACCCCGCCCCAGCTTTTCTAGGCTCCACACACTTAAGAGTTACAAGGAAGGCTGGGCAGCAATATTCAGACAGTATCTAAATAGCAAAAACCAAAATCCTGAAAACACAAAGTCCTCTTTGAAAGAGATTCAGCAGGTGGGCTGAGAGAGGTCGGACACCACTGTAGACAACTAAGAATTTCACGGGTAGGCCTAAGCTAAAAGACACAGAAGAGAGAAGAGAAACACCAATACATAGCCAAAAGCAATTATGGGGTTGAAGAGGGAAACATCCACAGAATAGTGGCTGTCTCCCAGTACTGAATCTGTGGATTGAAGAAGTTCATTCTGAGCGCATCAAGACAGATCAAAACAACGCCACATGAGCATATCCTACTGAAAAACCAAGATTTCAGGAAAGGTCACAAAAGTAACCAGAGAAAAACGCCAGTGTGCACGGACAGTAGCCATCTCCACGGCAGCCCCGGCCATGTGGGGCCTGCAGACCCAGGCAGGTTCTAAGATCAGGGAGACAGGCATTTCCAACCACGAAAGAGTGGAGAGAGGTCCCCAGAAGTCCCTTCCTCACAGACAAAAGCAGGAACAGGTGGCCTCAGCAGGAGGAACGTGACCCCGGGGAAGGCGTGGAGTGCAGCCACATCCCTGCAGACGGATCCCAGCCAACAAGGAAGGAAGAAAGTTCACCCCAGAAACTTACCAACTGATTCGTCTTTGCACACCTCAACCTTGGCCTTCACCTGCCCCAGGGCCCCGGGGGCACCCTCAGCCCCCAGTGGGTCCTTCTCATCGAGGGCCCCCGAGTCAGCTCCCATGGAGTCAGGCTCTTCCAGGGGGAACTCCAACTCTGCAGATCGGCTCAGGGGCTTGACAGGGGACACTTCTCCACTGGGGGTGAGCTCACTGTTTTGCTCTCTTTCCTCATTGTCCTTCATTTTCTTGTAATGCAGACAAGGAATGCTGCTCAGAGGAGGATCATGTTTCTGTGGATAGTGAAATTGCAACACAGATTACAAGGATGACCTCAAAGCTCTGAACATCTGAAGCCTTCCACTTGCCTCTGCCTGGCTAGCATGCAAACACAGCGTGTGTATGTTCAGTCTGCAAACTTACAAGACTAAATTCATGACTGATGCATCCCCTACCCGTATGCTTCCCGTTCCCAGGAAGTACGGCCTGGACCAGGTGACCACCCGAGACTCTCTGTGTAGGTACACCGGGACTCCGGAGTTATGGAATGTCATGATCCACCCGTCGGGCAATGGTTCTGTAGGAGGACGGCCACGACCTGCACAGAAGACGAGAGCATCCTACAATCACTTCAGAAACACTCTGAGTTGTAGAGATGGCTTCAAAATTATGACACATGGCAGATAAAAATAGTAAAGTCAACCAAGGATTGATTGGAAAGAACCTCTAAGAACTAGGGGAGTAGAGGAGGACCCTCCCCTCCACCAGACAGAGCCTACCCAGCCCTGCCTGCCACTCAGCGCCTCCAATGCACGAAACTCTTCTCAATTGTTGTGCTTGTTTATATGGCTCCAACCCAGAGAATCTAAGTCCCTCCTCAATAGCAGGAAGCTGTCCACCTTGTTTACTGGTGTACTCTTGGGCCTAGAACAGCACATGGTGCACAAAGGAGCCTGGGATGAGGTTCTACAAGACAAGAGTCCTAGCCTCAGCTGCTGCCTGCACAGCTGTGGGCACCACGGCCATCAATCCCTCACTGCCTGCCTTGGCTATGGCCAGAGGCACCCCAGGGGCTGAGTAAACTTTGCTAACAAATTGCATGTCTGCCGACCACTGCTCCCTGTGACTCGACAGCAAGTGTTCATTGTACCTGAGCTGCATACTCTCACCAGCACGTGAAACTACTTCCAATTCATACATTTCTAAGTCAGTTTTAGAACACTACTCCCAACCCCTTCTTTGCTTTACAGGCGGTCAAAGAAAAAAGCTCAAGACTTGTTACCCACTTGACACCTGCCACTAACAGGCCCGGTGACTAGGAAAAGCACAAAGATTTAACTGAAACGTAATTCTCTAACAGGAATTGGGAACAAGTGAGAAATTTAGGGACAAAAGAAAAAAGCAAATGAAATTTTAAAAACACAGACATAATGAAATGGCATGAGGGACTCTCACGGACAAGGGAGTAGCATCCCAGTGCCTGGTCCCCACCCGGCAGTGTTAACCCTTGGCCTGACATCAGAACATAACAATCCTGGCTGGATGGCTGATGTCAGGATGGCCCCCAGGAGGGAGCACAACAGGTCAGAGGTGCACAGACACTGTCACACACTTTCCCCTACCCGGGCTAGAGCCAAGGAGCTGCCTCACACCATCTTTGGGCTAAGTCAGGACAAGGAGAAGCAAACAAAATGCTAGCAAAGTACAACAGGGGTCACTGGTGCACCTGGGCTACTCATTTGTAACAAGTAGCAGTCATAAAGCTGGCCCAGCCGTCTGAAGAGCTCACATGCAGCTTACACGCAGCCTGTGAGCCTGAGGCCCATGCCACAGCTCCTGGGAGGCAGCACGGTGGGGCAGGCTGCCAGGTGGGTGAGGTGGAGCAGAAGGCTGCAGAGGGAAAGGCAGAGCAGTGCCCGGTGCAGGCAGGCCCAGTGGCATCCCTGAAGTCATGGCCAGGCACACTGTGAACCTGAACCAGGCTGCTCAGAATGGACACGGCTTTGTGGCACCTAGCATAGCCACCCCGTCCACTCTGCAGTGGGAGACTGCACAACACCTGCCCTTCGATTTCCTCCCATCACGCCAAGCCACCTTCTGCACTCCCAGCCCTCAGCCTAAGGTCTCAACTGTGTGCCTGAGTCCCCACGCATCCGTTCAGCCCCTTCCCACTGCCCAATGCCCAGCCCCAGAAGCAACTCCAGGCCGACTGCCCCACCCCCCAAATCCAAGTGCAGCTTTGGAACACCTTCACCCCTACCACAGGAGCTCCCACTCTAGCCACCTAAAGTCCACACACCACGCTGCAGCCGTAGGAGCTGTGCCTTTAGACAAAAATTGTGTAACACCACCACCTGCCTGCTTCTAGAGGTTTCCCCTGACACTTGGTGGAGAATCCAGAAGCCAGACTACAACCATCACCTGCCACAGTGCTGCACCCACCTCTGGCCTCGGCCTCACATCCTCTAGTTGCCCATCTTGTCATCTCCCAGCAACTTCATCCCCCTCCACCACCCCATCAGAAGTGCCTCCCCACTCCCCTGCACAACACCAGCCGCTCCAGTGTGTGTCCACGCATGACACCACAATCTGCACCCGGGTCACTGTGCATCTGGTGCTTCCTTGTGTCTTGTCTGTCTCCCCTTCACCACACATGACTGTCCTCCCTCAAACATGTGCCCACTGCTAAGACCACTGCCTGGCACCCAAGGGCTCTCAAAACGGCACTTCTACCGCCCCACAAACACACTACTTTCTGACTGGCTGACTTACTTTTTAGCACAGTTTTAATCTTGGTCATCATTGGCTGCACACTTGTCTCTCCGTCAGATGGATGGTCACTGTCTCCTCCGTATTTCTCCTCCATTCGTCTCTTTTTGGGAGCACAAAGGCCCTCTTCCAGCAGAGCATCAACATCATTGTCAAAATCATCCTGCAAAACACGCTGTTCAGACACCAGGGCCCCCGGAGCCTGCATTCCTGTACCGTAGGCAAGCTTAACAGCATTAGTGAGAACAGACACAGAAATGAGGCACTCTCAAGTGGGGCCTAGGTATGCCTTTATGTTGCGTGATCATCTGAAAAACAAACAGGAAGAAACTGACAACTGCAACCAAAACACTTGACGCTTGGCACAGGTGCACACGCCACCAGGAAGCGCTTCTCAGCAGCACCTTCCAACTTAGGTTGCATAAAGGGTACAAGGTCGACTGCTCAGCCAAACCTTTCTTTAGGAAAATTTAAGAACCTGGACTTCTTACAGCTTTTTCTTTTCCACATTAACATTATTCCACCTGATATGGGTTTTTTTTTTCCTCTGCAACATCAGCTTTCAAAAGATGCTGCGGTTCCCAACACCTCTCTTTGGGTTTTGCTAAGAGTGCTCCAAAGGCGGGGTCGCCGACATACCTCATAGGAGAAGTTCAAGGCCTCTTCATCCACTCTGTCTCTCTGCACGATTGCTTTAGCCGTGAACCCGCCTGTTCCTTCTTCATCTAGCTCCAAATTGTCAGTAAAATCTTCTAACTCATCGAGCACTGCGTACTCCACTCTCTTTTCCTGATCCAGCTCAGTCTCCTCATCCTTCTTATCAGCACTCTCACCCCCTACACCTACCCCATTCCCAACACTCCCGCCAAAGGGACAAGCATGCACGTCTCCACTGACAGGGCTAAGGGCCAGACCGCACTCTGCGCGAGCGTCGCGCTCCACTCCTGTGTACAGCACCTTCCTGTCCTTACTCCTGCAGCTCTCGGTAAAGCTCACGCTAATCTTTACATCCTTAAGCAACTTAAGGTCAGGGGAGAACTTCCGGACCGCAGGTGCGTGCCGGGCGGTGCGCGGGCTGTGGCCACTACAGTTCGGGTCTATGAGGAGGCGGGCCTTAGAGAAGGATCCTTTGGAGAGAAGAGAAGCTCCGTAGAAGTTGAGCGGGTCCTCAGCAGGGGGTTCGGCCTGTCCATCACCACCAGAGCCAACGTCCATTACCTCTGCATCACTGGACGTTTGCAGGGGAGGTGGTGGAGACTGTTCACGGGGCAGCGCTTGAAAGGGGCAAGCTCGGTTCTCCATCACCGCTTCTCCTGCGGGCTCACGCGGGAGAGGAGAGGGACTCTCATATGTCTCCATAGTAAAAGTGGTTAAGACTATTTTAAAAGACCAGAGTTTTAAAAAACCTTACATAAATCTATACAGCTAACATGCACAAGTCCGCTGAGACCCGGGTGCCGTCCTGCCCGCGCTGCACACGCCGGCGGCTTAGTCAAGCTGGCCACATTGCTCTTTTCATTAATGTAGACAGCTTTTAGAACCACTGCCTCAATTATTGGAAATCACAATGCACTCAGCTTAAATGACTGACGACTAAGCGAGTCTGTCTTCATGCCAAAGTGGCACCTTTCTTCTTCCACCTGCAAAGAGATTTAAAAACATCGTCACAAAATGACAGAAACCTTCTGCTTCCCTGGTACTAAGAGTCAAGTGCTATTAACAGTGTAGTAAAGAACTTGAAATACTACTGCCTTAAAGAACCTTCTAGGCTTCAAAACAAACTAGCTCTACATTCTTCCTTCAGAACCTAAATTATAATTTAAGTCCTAAGTTAAATATCTTACTAATTGTCCACTGTAATTCCTACTTCAGAAGCACAAAAAGTATTATCTTAAGGCTCAAAAAAGATTTTTAAAAACTAGGCTAAGCTTCACCGCAGCATTCCCCTAACTCAGTTTATTAGGTAAGCAAGCTCGCGGTGCAAGGCTGCCCTTTCCAGAACACACATAAGGTGTGTGGCCTCCCTCTGGCCATCAGAGCGACATGGATCCACTCACCTGCTAGGGCTGGGTCAGTCAGAGGGCGAGGGCGAGTGCGAGACCCTCAGCTCAACTCTGCGGCACTAGGGCCTCAGAGGTACAGCCAGGCGCTCTGCTACCCAGGGACCCCAGGGCTCTCCTGGGCCCACAAGGTGGCGGGTGGACCGGGATAGTGATGCAGCGTGCTGAGGTCGCCAGAGGTGGCGTGGTTCTGTTCCCAGTAGAGGAGGGGATGGTGGCTGTGGGGAAGGGAACCTGGCCAGGGTTGGTCGGGGGAGCCTCAGGAGACAGCTGGAGCCAAGGCACAGGAAGTCCTGGGTGCCATCTGGAACCTGGCTCCCTCCTGGGGGCAATAAGGAGCCACCAAGGGTGAAGTGATTCCCATGCCACAATTCAGCCCCTATTTGAAAAAGGAAACTGACAGCTGTGCCAGGCCCAGTGCCTATGCCCGAGGCACAGAGGGCAGTCCTCCAGGCCAAAGCACAAAGGTGTGAATGAGGCTCTGGTGACGGGGCTGGAGCCCTCAAGAACAGTGAAGACACAGAACTGACCACACTGCTGACTGGGTAGAGGTGGAGAGCAAAGACAAGAGGAAACTGAAGGCAAATGAGGCTTCTCCCCTGGGAGGACACACGTGTTCCAGCATCAGGCAAGAGCCTGCCGAGGAGAATGGATGGAGCCTCTAGGCAGACCTGTCCAACAGGTGCTGAGGCCACAGCTCTGGAGCTGTGACTGGCCCAGAAACAGAAGGCCAGAACACATCAGCGAGGTGATAGTCGCCAAAACCACAGGAGAGAGGCTGCCCAGAGAGGCAACACAGACCAAGAAGAGGGTTAAGGATGCAACTCTGGGAAGCTTCCCTTCAGAGAAAAGACAACAAAAGGGATGACGTGAAAAGGCAGGTCAGAGGGACAATCCAAAAACCCAGAGGTCTGCAGGAGGGCCGGGCATCAAAGCAGGAGAAGCACGTGCAGACGCAAACGTGTATGCGCACACACTCCCACACCATGCAGACACACACACACACACACACACGAACATGCCATGCACACGGGTGCAGATACGCACATGCATGCCCATGCCCACATAGGGCAGGCCTGGCTGGCTGCATGGACAGAGCAGAAGACAGCAGACATCACACACTTAAGAAGTTTACAGTGAAGGAGTAGAGCGTGGTGGTTGTACTTTCAAGGAGACACAACATAAAAACCAAAGACTTACTCAGATTTAATTAATTCCTTCAACCAATATTCACTAGCCTTCTACTCTAAGGGATGTACTACCATGAGCAAGAGACAAGGTCTCCACCACCTGGACACAGATGGAAGGGCAATGACCACTGAGCTGTCACTCTATTTCCTAGACTCTAAGATGTCCTTACATTTCTGAATTCAATGGGAATTTTATCACAATACCTCCCCCAAAGGTGTATCTGTCAAAGGTGCTAAAGATCAAGGGAATACAGCATACAGATAACAAGACTCAGAACTGAGGTAAACGCTAAGGAGGCTGCAGCTGAACAGGCATGAGGAGAACCGAATGAAATAAGGCCAGTCTCCTGGCAACCAACAAAGATCATTTCAGAGAAGGACAGACAGGTCAGCATGTCCAGTGCTAAAGAACACAGATAAAAATCAGGACCAAACCCCTCAGCTTCTGGTAGGTCTGTGGAGACACTAGCCAAGAGCCAATCCAGTGATTCTGGGGGCTGAAGGGGGGGGGGGCTGAAGACAAAGGGTGGTACAGGATGGGGACACCTGCTAGTGTTAAAAGACCAAGCAGCTGCCATCACCAAAGCACAAAGCAAAGATGATAATGACAACAATGCAGAGGGTGGGGTCAGGGAGCCGTAGAGAAAAAAGAGTGTTCTTTCTCCCTGGAGGATCAGGAAAGCCTGCCCAGCCCCAGGGGGCAGCAGCTCAAGGCTCAGAACTCCGCAGTAGGGCAGTCCTGGGCAAGTTCCTTACTTTCCCCTGTAAGCTTGCTCTACTCATTCAACAAGTGTTTGCTGAATGCTTTCCACATGGCCCACGTACCATTCTAGATGCTAAGGACGCAGAACAGACAAAATCTGTACCCACAGAGCTCACTTTTTAGCAGGACAGATGGAGAAACAACTAAGAAAAGCTGATTAGTATTCAAGAGAAAACAAAGGGGGGGGCAGCTTCATAAAGGGCAGACAGCAAAGACTGCACAGTCGGAGTCCATCTGAAGGCAGAAGAGAGTGAGCTGGGTGGGTGGGAGCAAGGGACATTCCACGTGACAGAAGAGCAAAGACCCTGGGGTAGAAGTGCAGTGAAGGAGGTGAAAGCAGCGTGCTAAGTGAAACTGAGACCAGGACTGTGGCTCTTATCTTAAGAGATGGGCCACTGGACAGGAGGGTCCAAGCACTGAGGTGGCATGACCCAAGGACAGCAGTGGCAACCAACCCTCAGCCAGGCCCTGCTCTAAGAGTGTTATGCATTTTCACTCACCAGTTCTCACACAGCACTAAGAGAGAGGTTAAGGACAGAAAGGTTAAGCAACTTCCTCAAGGTCACACAGCTAGAAAGCAGTGAAGCTGCTTTACCACCCAGGCAAGCTGGCTCCCCTCCTCACTTCCTTGGTTTTACACTATCCTACAGTTTAAAAGAATCATTCTGTGTCCAGAAAAACTATCATGGGTGAGTGGCGGGGAGGAGCAAGAGTGAGAGCAAAGTGAAGAATTAAGAGGCTCACCAGGCAGTTCAGAATAGCACGTTAAGCTGGAGGTGGTAAGAAATTGTCCTGAGTGTTGCATGGAGGCCTAAGAGAGGAATCCAGGTGACTCTAAACTCATAAACGGAGTTGTCGTGCACTGAGGTAGTGAAGGCAGCATGAGAAGTGTTGTGGGGTGGGTGAAGATAAGGATTTAGGTTTGGCTATGGCTACTTGGCATCAGAGTAACATATGAAGATTTGGAAGAGACAGCAGCTCAGAAGGGAGGTCAGGGCTGGAGAAGGCGATGGGAGCTGTCAAGGAGAGAGGGCATTAAAGCCAGGAAGCTGGATGAGACCACCAAAAGGGGAAGGGCAGCTACTAAGAGGGACCAAGACCAGGCAATCCAGTGAGATTCATGTTTTCTACTACCAAGGTCACGGTCAGATTATAAAACAATCCCCAGGAAGTGCCCTACAGAGTGCCTGGCCATAAAGAGCTCAAAGAGTGACTCTCCCACCATCAGCCTCACTGCTACTGCAGCTGATTGAACACACCGATGCAAACCTTGCTTGCCAAGTGGACTGCAAGCCAGCAGCAGGCTCCCCTGGATCCCTGGTACATGGGGTAAAACCAACAGGCTTGGACAGCGCCCTTCACTGAAGTCCACTTGCTGAGCTGGCATCGAGTCGCTGACTGTAACGTCCAGGGCTGGGGCTGGTGCCTTTCGGTCAAGCCTCTCACACTGCAGCCTCCCGCCCAACCCAGCAGCAGTATGACCTCATCCATTCCTTTTGTCATCCTCCAACAGGCCTCACATCCTGTACTCACAGGCGCACTCCTGACTGGCCATTCACTCCCTCTGGTGAGTAACAGCCTGCGGCAGGGTTTGAGCCACCGTGCGCGAGGCGCCTGACTGGGAGTCCAGGCTTAGACCAGGAAACAGAGGGTCTCCGCCTGCTGGTTGGCCTCACACAGTCACCAGCCCTAGCCTGGACTGCCGTGCATCAGGTAACAAGGTACATGCAAGCATGCAGAACAGCAAATCAAATTCCTACCATGAGCAACCCAAGTCCATCGAATGATACTTGACAGGTACCACTATCAACAGGTTGCCACCTTCCATTTATTTCTACCACGACCACTGTTACAACAAAACCACGCTCCGCTTATCTAAGTGACACTCAATCCATAAGCATTTGGCGGAGAAAAAGACTCAGGCGACTTCTCAGATTTCCCAAACTGTTACACCCGGCAGGATCCTGACGAGCACTACCCATGTTCATACCTTTCCCGCCTGAAAGCGACGCTACGGCTTCAGGCCCACAGAGCGAAGGGCCTCTTTACACTCGGGCTGTTTACCCGGGCGGAGAGCGACCGGCGTCGGCGCCACCTGGGCCTGGGGCCCGCCCCCACCCCACCCCACCCCCGCCACGGCGAGACCCCCGCCCCGCGTTCTCCGAGGCCCGCGGCCATGATGTTTCACAAAGGCCGGGACTCCGCGTGGCTGCCCCGCCTCGCGCCCTCCCGCCCCGCCCCACCCCGCCGCCCGGGCCCTCAGCCCTTGGCCCAGGAAGCAGGGAGGGGAAGGGCGCGCCCTCGCGCAGGCCGCAGCGCCCACCCGCCCGCCCGGCCCGCGGGGCGCCCCTCGCGCCCCGCACCTACCTCCGGCGCCCGCGGCCTGCCCGAGCTGCCCGCAGCCCGACCAAGGCAGGGAGACCCTCACGGCCTAGCCGCCATCTAGAAAGGCCTCCCAAGCTCTCTCCGGTCGGCGGACCCGCCTGCCGCGCGGGGCGAGCGGAGGGCGGACCTTCGCGGTTCGCGGCCAATCCCTGCGCGCGGGCGCCCCGCATTGGGGGAACCGCGGAGCGGGCTGCGGAGGCCGCCAATCGGCAGCGCGTGGCGCTCGCGGCCACGGCACGCAGCCCAATAGCGCGGCCGCGTGGGCGGGACCAGGCGCTCAGGCCGCGGCCGCGCTAACGGTCGCCGCCGGGGCGGGGCTCGCCGCGCGGAGGGCGGCGGCCGCGCGGAGCGCCGGGAACGGGTAGCGCAGGGGATGCCGGGAACAGGAGAGCGCGGGAAGCGCAGGGGATGCCGGGGAAGGGGGAGCGCAGGGGATGCCGGGAGCGGGAGAACGCGGGAAGCGCCCGCAGCCGGGCAGCGCAGAGTACGCCGGGAGCAGAGGGCGCCTCCGTGGTCTACGTAGTGCAGACGAGACCATATACACACAATCATTAAACGTTTGCAATTAAAAGCATTAAGCATAATCAGTAGGAAAAAAGGACAAATATGCTGAACTTCCGGCATTTTTCCACTTGCTAATGCCATTTCAGGAACCTCAGAAAAGGGAGGGTATGAGTAAGTGGAGAAGGGACAGCTCTTCCTTAGACCAGAATTCCAGTGAATAAATGTAGAAGGAATGATGGAAGTAGGAAACCTCCCTTTTGGCAGCCTGCACAAACCTGCTGCAGACAAAAATCACGGATGCTAAAAATAGCAAAGTAGGAGAATTGGCGATTTTTTTGTTGCTTTACAGAGATGCAACGTTTCTCCCCAAGACACTAACTGCAAACCTAAAATAGTAACTGCGGTGGAGAAAAACCTGAGAGAGAACCAGGTAACCAAGTGATCGAGGTCACCAACAAACGTATACACATCCAAACTTACCAAATTTATACTTTAAAGATATTCGTTGTATAGTATACTAATGATACCTCAATAAAAATGAAGACAAAGGTCAGCACCAGTAAAGACATATTGTGGGCCTCCTGAGAAGGACATGCATCACTACCCAAAAGGCAAAACCTGAATGAAGAAAGATCAGACAAACTCAAATGAGGGACATTCTACCAAAAAACCGGCAGGTGCTTTTCAAGTGGCAAGATCATTCAAGTCAAAGATACACTGAGGAGCTGTCTTCAATTACAGGAAACACAACTATGTGATGTGGGATCTGAACCCTGTATCGGAACCTAGCTCAGGAAAGGGACAGAAGTGGGACAACGGGTCATTCAAATCAGGTTTGTAAATTAGCTGGTAGTAATGTATCAATGCTAATTTCCTGGTTGTAATCATTTTAGTATGGCTAGAGGTAGGGTGTTAACATTTGGGGGAACTGGGTGAAAGACACTGGAATGTTTTGTTCTATTGTTTCAAGTTTTTAGTAAGTTGAAATCATTTCAAAATGAAAAGATTAAAAAAGGTGGGTTAAAAGAGTGTTGCAGGTGAGGAAGCTGGAAGGCTATCCAGGCCCTTCCCTCCCTTCCTGCCCCTTTCTGTTTACCTGGCTGTCCAGGGGTCAGCACCAGACACTTCACAATAAAAATGTGACCAAGCCCCATGAAGTTCTAGCTCCTGGACTTAGCCAGGGGAGGCCAGCCTCTCTGTGGCTGGGCCAACTGCTCTCCTTGGCCCAGTGGTCAGAGCTCATGGGAACCCTTGGCATGCCACCATCCAGCCTTAGCAAACTCTCCACACTTTATTGCTTGGTGAGTTGCCTCAGACTCGAGACCTCAGACCAACAGCTGGCTTCCCACATGGCCTTCCCACACAATGTCCCCACAATCCCCATCCGACTCCAACCTCAGGTGGATGCCTAGAAGCCGGAGCTCTAGCCCAAACTGAGGAAACTTTTCCTTCCAGGCTCCTATGTTTCCACCTGAGCCCAGCTCACCCATGAGCCAGGTCTCTGCTAAAGGGCCTGGATGATGCTATCTGCTGGCAGATGAGACCAAAAGATCAGGTGTTAGTGGTGGGGCAGTGGCGGGGGGTGTCTCTGCAGGCAGAAGGCCAGGATCTCAGGCCTGCCATGACAAGCCTCAAGGCCAGGCTGCATTCCTGGGCTGGTCTTGTTTACTCAGACTTAGCTTCCATATCAGTCAGCTCCACACCTCCAGTCTGCATGCCAACACACTTCAACTGGCTGTCTTAGAACCAGAGAGCAGAAGCAGCTCATCAGGGGCATCTGAAGAGGAGGTGAATTACCCCTCCATCTGGGAAAAGAAGACCCATGTTGGGAACTCAGGGATCCAGTGCATCTGATGACTAGCTAAGCCATGCCAAGGTCAGGTCCAGGCCTTCCTGTGTGGCATGTCAAAAGCACTTCTAGAAAGCACAGCTTCCTAGGGTCCCTTCTAACCACACAAGGGTCTCACTTCAAGGCCTAAATAAATGGGGGCTTGGGAAGTGCCAGCAATGTCATTTTTGGTTCAAATGTCTACCTGACCTGGGCATCAGGATATAGTGATGGACAAGAGAGGAATGGCCTTGCCTCCTGAAGCTCTTGTTCTGACAGGGAGACACACAAGAAACAATCAAGCAAAACACATAGCATGTCCCAGTGCTAACTGCTATAGAAAATAGAGCAGGGACCAAAGCAGGGCAGATTGCAGCTTCAGATGGGATGCCTCCCCAAGACTTTACCAAAGAGCTGCAGGATGTGAGGGACAGTGTGGTTTGGATATATGGGGGGGGGGGGGGGGGAGTTCTTCAACCAGAAGGGCCAGCAAGTGCCAAGGCCCTGGGGCAGAAGCTGTGCAGAAAGCGCGACCAAAGGCAGTGGCAGAGGCAAGAAAAATGTGATGGGGGGGGAGGGGAGTGCAGGGCAGCAGGTGAAACCAACGTGGGAGGACCATGAGCCTACAAGGGAAGACACCCCAAGATGCATCCTCTCCTTCCTGGCCCCATGGCTCTGCCTCCCTACCTGCCTGGGGACTGAGACACTGTTATGGTATCTCCCCAAGCTTCAGTTTCCTCATCTGTAAAATGAAGGTCACAATTGATTTAGTTTGCTAGAGCTGCCATAACAAAGTACCATAAATGAGTGGCTCAAACCACAGAAATTTATTGTCTCACAGTTCTGGAGGCCAGAAGTTTGAGCTCAAAGTGTTGGCAGAGCCACGCTCCCTCTAAAGGCACCAGGGAAGGATCTGTTCCAGGTCTCTCTCTCAGCTTCTGGTAGTGTCTTGGCATGGGACAGCATAGCTCCAGTCTTTATAGGGCATTCTGCCTGCATGCATGTCTGTCCCCGTGTCCAAATTTTCCCTTTTTTATAAGGACATCAGTCATACCTGATTAGGGCCCACCCTAATGACTGCATTTTATCTTGATTACTTCTGTAAAGACCCTAATAAGGTCATATTCCGAGGTACAGGGGCTAGGATGCCAATAGATCTTTCGGGGGGCACACAACTCAACCCATAACAATAGAATTACATCAGGCACTTGGGAAGCCCAGGGCAGGTTGAGGGCTGGGGTATCCCTGTGCAGGCCCTGTCCCTGGCGTAGAGACAAACATCAGGGAGAGCACTCCAGATGGCTTTGCACCAGCCCAGTGGTGCCCCATGAGGGCAGACATGCCTGGCCAGGGTGGGTGCTGGTGTGGGGCACTGAGGCAGACGAAGGGCATCGGCAGTGCCTGGGCTGAGAGCCTGGGTCGGTGTGCCTCAGCCAACAAGTGTTTGCCCCTGGGCCTGGGGCTGTGGGCTAAGCCACCACTGGGGACCCCATTCAAACCTGACCATGCTCAAGCACTTTTCCTCTGAGTTCAAAGTGAGCCAAGGAGGGCATCAAGCCCCTGAGGGGTGCTCAGGGTGAGAAGAGGGAAGGGTTGAGAAGGCAAGTGGGGCCGGGTGCAGGTCCACACCCCACCCCGAGCTCTCACTGGCTCTGAGGAGCCCAAGTTGGGGGTCAGCTGCAAAGGCAGATGGAAGTCTGGGTCTCAGCAGTGGACACACAACGGGACCCCCTGATGCTCAGCCTGGGCCAGGGACAGGAACTCCTGAGTACCTGCCGCAAACCAGGGTCCTGCACTTAAGACAGACTCCACTTGCCCCCTTGCCCTGAAACCCATTCCTACCATCCCCTGGCCTCCACAGTCCACCCCAAGTGCAGGCCTGACCACACCACTCCATGGGGAGGTCCCCAAGGGCTCTTCACTACACCCAGATGAGTCCCTGGCTCCTCAGCCCAGCTCAGGAGGCCCTGTAACTGGCACCTACCGTGTCCCATGCATGTAGGCTCTCTCTCGAACCCCAGCCCAAGGACAGACAGATGGACAGGCTGATGGACCCTTGGGTTTCTATCAGGGTGCTCAGAGACCCATGAGCAAAAGAAGAAAGTGGGAAGAGGCTTGTTCTGGTGAGTGTGCCTTGGGAGCTCCTGCAGACCAAGAGAGCAGCCCTACTGACCCCCCGCACAGTTGTCCCCCATCACACAAGGACCTGAAATGCACTGACTCACCACAGCCTCCGAGTTTTATTATCAAGGTCTCACGTTCAAGTACAGATTCCTATGAAGTCTGACTCCCCAAGGAGAAGGGAAATAGCAAGGGCTGGCTGTGTCCCCTCACTGAGAGGGCCTGCCCAAGACCCATGACCCCCAATGGGCAGGTAGTTGCCTGAGAGCCTACCAAGGTGCCCCAGCATACACAGGACCCCTGGGGCATCATGCAGGACCACCCCCCTCCCCCCACAGGACCACCCCATGCACACAGGAGACCCCCCAGAGCACAAAGGACCACCAACCAGCCTGTGCTTCTGTTATGACAGTGGGTTTTTCTGGGGTTGTTCTCATTTCTCATTCCAAATGGGGCCTCTCCTCTCCAAGAGCAAGTCTAGCTGTCCAGAAGTGGACTATGCCCAGGAGAAAGGGAGCCACTTTTAAACAAAAGTCTACACCCTATTGTTTTGATCAAAGCAAAGACCCACTGGCCAGAAGCACCTGCAGATGCAAGTGGCACATCTCTGCCTGTCTAGCATGCATACGTGTGTATGCCGGGGGTTGTGTGTGCATTTGAGCATGTGTACACCTATCTGTTGCCTGTGCATGGTGTGTGTGTGCCCGTGCACCTCCAGGTGTGCATGGAAACATGTGCCTCGACTCTGTACCTCTGTGCTTGGACAGGGGCAGACCCAGGTGCCTTCACATGGGCACAGCACACCTAGGCCTGCCCCAGGCCTGGCTGTGGGACTCTGTCACTCCTACTGGCGTAAGGGCAGACCCTGAGCTGGACACGTGAACACAGACAGGTCACAGAAACACCAGAGGGCCCTGGTCCTGGGGGATGCTTGGCCAAGTCACAGGCAGTGCATGTGCCTACGGAAGGTTCCTATCCACACTGGTCCTTGAGGCAGGGCCTTCCAGGAGCCCAATGGCCACACCCAGGGAGAGGGGTTAGCTCTGCAGCTTGAACTCGTGGGTGCTGGTCTCCCAGCAGGCGGGGTCCTTGTCCAGCATGCTACGCTCTGTGAAGGTCACGTGCCCGTCCGCATCCACGAGGATGACCGTGTTGGTTCTGAAAGAGAGCAGGGGGCCCACGTTCAGCCCTCTGCCCTCAGCCCCCTGCCTGCCTGGTAGAGCCCCAAATGGGGCCTCTATCACCAGGAACCCTCTCCTGTCCTCCTCCCCTTCTACCCATCCCAAATGCTCAGTGCACCTTCTCTCCTCCTGCCAGCCGTCCCCAAGGCCAGTCCTCACTTTGTTAGCACCTGTCTCCCCCTGAGAGAGGGCAGCCCCTGTGCAAGCTGAAACCCAGAGTGGGCACACCCATGCCGAAGACTGGGGATCCCAGTCGGGCTTGGACCCAGCAGCCACACACCTGGCCAGGGAGCAGACCTGGCACTCTGCCTCACGCACATGAGTACACGTGAGCATGTAATTTGTCAAGAAAAAGGTCTGTGATGGAGAAGCCTGAGAGAATTCATGACCCGCCACCTGCCAAGGGAAAAGCCTAAGAATGGAAAGGCCACCATTCAGGCATACAACCCTTGAGCCCTGGAGCATCAGTGCTGGGCAGCGACACCACCATGGCCCTGCCTCCTATCCCATCCCCCAGCTAGAGGGCTCGAAGCTGTCATTTCCTGGAGAATGGAAGCCTCGGGCCAACCTGAACTCGAAAACCAAGCATTACGTGTGACATCACCATGTACCCAGAGTACATGCGGTATCACCGTGGCATCACTCAGCACCTGTCACCACCCAAGCACCCCATCCCTGAGTCCTTAGTGGCCACGGGCCCCCAAGAGCTTGGCCTATCCACAGTCCACTGCAGGTCACCAGCCCAGCACAAGGCTGGTGCCCATGGGGCCTGGTGCAAGCCAAATCCGGGCAGATGTTGCTTTGCACGAGGCCACAGTCTGCCTCCAGGCTAGGTGGGCCAGGTGGGCCAGGTGAGCAACAGCACTCCTAGGGCATCCTGGCTGGTCCAGCAACCCACCCACCTCCAAGTACAGCAGGTAGGCTACCCCAGACAGAATCGCAGGGATGGGCTGGGCCTCCCAGACACAGAGCCAATCTTCCTCTGCCCAGGAGGGAGAGAGGCAGAGAAAGAACTTGATGGGACAGCAGACACCCATGCCAACAGCTTCTCCTTCCCAGGCATTCTCCCCTTGTGGCTGAGGCCAGAAGTTGCCCTTTTCTTGGGTGATGTGCCCAGGCCGACATGACCTGATTCCTGCTCTGGTCACACAGAGAATGTAACAGATCCAAGGACACAGGGCAATGTGAGAGGAAGAGCTGGGCAGTGGGACCTCTGGGCCCACAGGGATCTGCCAAGCCGAGTGCGTCCATGGCCATCCCAGCCCCCTCGTGGCTGTGGAGGGAGCAGGAAGCAGCCCAGGAACCATTTCTACAGTATCCCTGGGAGCCAGCGAGCTTGTTGTGCAAAACCATCCGCTGTGGTGTCTGCTGGCCCCATAGCCGCCCCCCAAGCTGAAACGGCAGCTGCTTTTAGATAGGGCAGAGGCTCTGGGATCCACAGAGTTCAGGGAAGGCCGGGTTCCTCGTGGGACAGGACTGAATGCACCCAGCAGCCCCTCGTACCTGGTGCCATAGCCCGGGCAGCGCACACACACAGCCGCATACTTGCTCAGGAAGGGCTGCACGTACTCCCTGCCCTGGTCCTCAATGGCCGGGTCTGGCAGCTGCCTGGAAGGACAGAGGACGGGTCACTGCCACCCCTACCCACCCACCCACAGCCCCACCTGCCATCCTCAAGGCCTGCAGTGCCTAGGGAGCCTACCAGCCTCATGAGGCGGTTTGGGGGATCCACAGGGGCTGTTCTGTGCACTTTTCTGCTGAAGGCCTCAAATCTCAGTCCAGTCTTTTATTTAGGACTCCATCACTGGGCCCAGGCTGCCAGACAGTGAGTGCCAGGCCAGCTCCCCCTGCCAGGGCCCCCAGGAGCTTTCCCAGGACCCAGGGACATGAGCTCAGCACTGGGGAAGGCTCTGCTGAATCTGCAAATGCCGGGGGTCAATCTGGTCAGAGCTGTGCAGGGCCCCCCCCAGGAAGGACAGAAGTCATCTCTCAGAGCAAACTTACCTTCCTGTCTTGGTGAGGTCTCAGTGGTTAGGGGTGCTATGGGGCCGGGGCCTGGCTGAGGGGTCACTGGCCACACACACGCCCTGCCTACCCCAAGAGGTACCCTATGGGCATCTCTCCACATGACAGGAGCCCACTTGAGCCCTGCAGCTTGCCAGCCACTGAAGCTGGTGCTGGGCCACAGCTGTCAAAGCAGCCAGGACCCCATTTCAGGCCAGAGGGGATGACAGCCAGTGACTGAGGGCCACATGACTCACAGCTGAGCAGGGGATGCTGGACCAGCCCTAGCAGGGCTTCCCTGAGAGGTGGCTATGCTGAGGCTGAAAGTGCCCTACTTCATGGTTCCAACAGGAGACGGAGAGTAAGCGAGGGGCAGGGAGGGGCTGCAGGAGACAGGAGTGGGAGGCAGCCCATGAGGGCTTCTCTGAGGGGCTGCTGGGGCATCTGGGCAGGATAGCAGCCTGGCCTGAGTATGGGCCACATTGTGGCATGGGAAGAAGGTAGCTTGGCCAGCACCTCTGACCCCCAGGTGGGATGGCCAGGACACGCCAGGGGGTGGCGTCCCTGAGGCAGGTACTGTGTGCAGAGGCCACCGAGGTGCCTTAGGGAAGTTGGGTCAGGAGCTCCTTTCCCCGAGGAGATTCCCGGGACAGGTTTGTCTGTGCCACAGCACTGGCAGGACAGCATGTGGGAAGAACAGTTAACCCCTAGATATAGTCCCAGGCTGGCTGCTTGCTTCTGTGGTTGGCTAAGCACCTGGAGCTTTCTAGAATCTCTGACTAGTGGTGTGCAGACACGGGGAACCTCCAGCTACTCTCTGCCTCACACAGGCCCACATCAAGCCTCTGAGAGCATTGAGCTTCTAAGTGCACTGGCCCAGGAGGGGAGCAGTTAGGAGAGGAGCAAAGGACAGTATGTCCATCAGGTTCCCCCTGGCTGAGGAGCTGGACCCAGTCACTTCCACAAGCCTCCTAGGGCAGCACAGCCTGCCTGCCTCTACATCCCAGGGCTAGAGAAGAAGGGGGACACACTGCTCGCCATGGCAGGATCCGCCCACTCACGCCTCGTCATTGTTGAGCACATGCAGGAGCTGGGCAATGAGGACATCCTTGGGGAGCGCCTGGCTCCGCTCCACGGCCTCCAGGAAGAGCTGCTTCCCAAAGCACAGCTTCCTCCAGGGCGTCTCCAGCAGCGCATTGCTTAGTCCATAGGTCCCTGCAGAGAAGGGGACAGCCCAGCCAGTGCAGAGGCCCCACTGTGGGAATTCAGAATAAATGCCCACCCGCGAACCTCAAGAAGGAACCACCTCCCCATCTCAGTCCTGTCTCTAAGCTAGGAAGAAGCTGCAAGGTGTGGATCTGCTTGAGAAGGTCAAGGGTGGGAGAATAGCAACCTGAGGCCAGAGGGGTACCTGCTGGGTATCAGTCAGTGGTTAGGGAGTCTGCCAAAATCAGAATGGCCTCAACTCAGTGGGAGTAGGCAGGGCCCACCTCTACTCTACACTGGCCAGGACCCTGGCCTGGGGAACGATAGGGTCTCAGCACAACCTTCTCAGAACAAGTTTTCAGTGAGTTAAAAGAATGGGTGACAAAAAAGAAAAGGGTTTCTCATGTCAAAAAAAGGAGAGGCCCGGCCTTGAAGTGGAGAGGCCCCACTCTCAGGAAGCTTCAGGAAGCAGTGGCAGGTGACCTTGGAGTCATGCACCTTGAAAAATGCACCAAAGACAGGAAGCCAGCACCCCCTGCTGCAGCTCCTCACAGGGTGAGGATCTTGACTGAGTCTGAGGTGATTGCAGCCACTTCCAAGGAAGATAGCCTTGGCTCTGCTGGGCCACCAGGCTGGGGTATCACTGTGCTTTATCCATCAAGAGAAGCAGGAAAGACTACTCCATAGTGGTGCTGGGCACTTGGGTAGCCACTTGCAAATAAGAAGTGGAATCCCTACCTCACACCATACAGAAGAATCAATTCAAAATGTCCCATAGATCTAAACATAAAGGCTAAAACTACAAGCCTTAGAAGAACGCATAGGAGAAAACCTACCAACCTTAGATTTGGCAATGATTTCTTAAACATGACACCAAAAGCACGAGCAACTGAAGAAATAAACTGGACTTCACCAAAATTTGAAATGATGTGCCCCAAAAGACATCAACAAGAAAGTGAAAAGAAAACCCACAGAAGGGGGACAGTTTTTGCAAATCATACATCTGGTACAAGACTGGTAGCTAGAATATATAAAGAACTATAACATGGGGCGCCTGGCTGGCTCAGTTGGAAGAGCATGTGACTCTTGATCTTAGGGTTGTAAGTTCCAGCCCCACGCTGGGCACAGAGATTACTTAAAAATAGAATCTTAGGGGCGCCTGGGTGTCTGCCTTCAGCTCAGGTCATGATCCCAGGGTCCTGGGATCGAGTCCCGCATATGGCTCCCTGCTCAGCGGGGAGTCTTCTTCTACCTCTGCCCCTTTCCCCGCTCAGGCTCGCTCTCTCTCAAATAAATAAAATCTTAAAAATAAATAAAATAAAAAAGTAAGATCTTAAAAAAGAGAAAAAAACCTACAACTCAAAATTAAAAATAACAAACAACCCAATTTAAAAATAGGCAAAGGATCTGAATAGACACTTCTTCAAAGAAGACATATAAATGACCCATAAGCATATGACAAGATGCTCAACATCATTTGTCATCAGAGAAACGCGAATCAAAATCACCATGAGGTACTACTTCACATCCGCTAGGATGGCTGTAATCAAAAAGACAGACAGGGGCGCCTGGCTGTCTCCGTCCGGGGAGCGTGAGACTCTTGATCTCGGGGTTTTGAGTTTGAGCCCCACATGGGGTATAGAGATTTTTTTTTTTTTAATTTTAAAAATCTTTTCAAAAAAGACAATAATAGGGGCTCCTGGGTGGCTCAGTTGTTAAGCGTCTGCCTTTGGCTCAGGTCATGATTTCAGGGTCCTAGGATCAAGTCCCACATCGGGCTCCCTGCTCAGCAGACAGCCTGCTTCTCCCTCTCCCTCTGCTTGTGCTCTGTGTCTGTCTCTCTCTCTGTCAAATAAATAAATAAAATCTTAAAAAAAAAAAAAGACAGGGGCGCCTGGGTGGCTCAGTTTTGGTTAAGTGACTGCCTTCGGCTCAGGTCATGATCTGGGATCGAGCCCTGCATCGGGCTCCCTGCTCGGATGGAAGCCTGCTTCTCCCTCTCCCACTCCCCCTGCTTGGGTTCCCTCTCAACGCTGTCTCTCTTTCTCTCTGTCAATTAAATAAATAATATCTTTAAATAAATAAATAAATAAAAGACAATAGTAACTGCTGGTGAGGATGTGGAAAAACTGGAACCTCAGATGCTGCTGGTGGGAAATGTAAATGGTGCAGCTGCTTTGGGAAAGTTTGGCAGTTCCCCAAAGGGGTTAAACAATTATCTTACCATCCAGCACTTCCACTCCTAAGTATACACATAAAAGAGAGAAAAACACAGGTCCCCACAAAAACTTACAACAAATGTTCATGGCAGCATGATCCACAATAGCCAGAAGCTGAAAACAACCCAAGGGTCCATCAACCAGATGAATGGAAAAACAAAATGTAGAATATCTGGACAATGGACTATTATTCAGCCGTAAAGAGGAATGAAGCCCTAATTCATGCCACAACGTGGATGGACCTTGGAAACATGATGCTAATAAAGAAGCCAGTCCCAAAGGCCACATATTGGATGATTACACTTGTACAAAATTTCCAAAATAGGCAAATCCACAGAGACAGAAAGTAGATTAGTAGTTGTCTGGGGCTGAGGGGTCAAGGGGGGGGGGTGACCGCTAATGGAGACAGGGGTTTCTTTTTGGGGTGATGAAAATGTCATGGGGTTCCATAGCAGTGATAGTTGCACACCTTTGCAGATAAACTAAAATCTACCGAATGGTACAGCTTTTTTGTTGTTGTTGTTTTTTAAAGATTTTATTTATTTATTTGAGAGAGAGAGAATGAGAGACAGAGAGCACGAGAGGGAAGAGGGCAGAGGGGGAAGCAGACCCCCCGCTGAGCAGGGAGCCCGATGTGGGACTCGATCCCGGGACTCCAGGATCATGACCTGAGCCGAAGGCAGTCGCTTAACCAACTGAGCCACCCAGGCACCCCCGAATGGTACAGTTTAAGTGAGTACATTGTATGATATGTGAATTACATCTCAATAAAGCTGTTATTTGGGGCGCCTGGGTGGCTCAGATGGTTAAGCATCTGCCTTCGGCTCAGGTCATGATCCCAGGGTCCTGGGATCGAGCCCCGCATCGGGCTCCCTGCTCAGCGGGAAGCCTGCTTCTCCCTCTGCCTCTCTCTCTCTCTCTCTGACTCTCATGAATAAATAAATAAAACATTTTAAAAATAAAGCTGTTATTTTTAAAAAGTGACACGGTCAGGCAGGATCAAGCTCAGGGAAACACAATGTATTTGAAATGACCTCGCTCCCTCCCTTCAACCTTCCCTCTCTCTCTCTGTCCCTTCCTTCCTCCCTTTAGCAGAAAATAAGCATCTCCAGTCACAGGATCTCAAGTACTGAGAAATGAGAGAGGGTATCACAGGGGAAGTTTCCAGATGCTTCCACAAAGGCCTCTGGGCCAACGCATAGAAGTGGGGGTAGGAGGGGCCTCTGTGTCCTTTTGCGGATTGTCCTTTTTCAATTCTCTCTGGGCAGTCACAGGCTCAGTGCTAGGAGAAGGTGGCCCTGGCTGTGGGCAGCCTGACATGTGGACCAAGTGTAGGCCATGGGCCACTATGGGGGCATAAGGCACACAAACGGCCAAGGAGCATAATCCCAGGAGAGAAATGTGACAGGGACCCAGTCTCTGAAAAGTACAGAAGTGTCCCCACAGAAGCAGCCCCCACCTTGTCACCACCCACCAGAGTAGGCTTACCTGGTGCCAGGACGACTGGCTCGGGCTCCCCCCGGTTTCCATAGTAGCAAATGACATCTCCCTTCTCTGTGCTGTGGACAGGAGGAAAGAGAGTCAGATGGGAGCTATGGGGCATCCAAATCTCTCACTGTCTGGCAATCTCCACAGTCCAGGACAGGGACAATGGCTCGCTGCAACCAGGACAGGAGCTGGTCAGGGCCCCTGCCTCCCAGGTAGGATCTTTGAGACCCCTGGCTCCTGACTCCTGGCTCACCAGAGACCACTGGCCTGGGAGCAGCATCTAAAAGACCCTCCTGCCTCACCACATGCCCCCGTGACACAGGTACTCGCATGCTATGTGCGTTAATAACTGCACTGTGCCCACAGACACCAGTCCCCACCCCCACAGCCCATCTCTGGACACCTCCAGACACAGTGGAATACCCCAGGGTAACAGAGGCTTCCAAACAAAGCACCAAAGATCACATTTGCCTACTTTTATGTGCTGAGTGTGCATTTAAAAATAGTTCAAAATGCTCAGAGCTGAAAATGTTCCCACTCCTAAATACCATAGTAAATCTTCCTTGAAATTGCCTTCTCTGCAAACTAGGAAGGACTCTTCCTGGCCTGTGAGCCGCCTTGCTACAGGTGCAGGGAACGCCACACAGGAACCTTAACCTCCAGGATGAACCACTGCAAAGAAAGAGCCGGGTGGGCTGCCAGGGAGTCCCTCTGGCTGTGCCCACCCTGGCCCCAGGGGGCTTCACATTCTGCTTGTGTTCTTCCTCCCCACAGCCCCTGGCTCATTTCTCAAGATATGTGGCTAATGACTTCAGAAATTGTGTTTATAGGCACAAAGCTAGAAAGCATGAAGACCTGTGGATTGGACACCCACTCCTGCCATGCTTGGTCAGGGACAAGCCGTGATAGCAATGAGGCTCTCTTCTTTTTTTTTTTTTTTTTTAAAGATTTTATTTATTCATTTGAGACAAAGAGACACAGAGAGAGAGACAGAGAGAGAACATGAGCAGGGAGAGAGGCAGAGGGAGAGGGAGAAGCAAGCTTCCTGCTGAGCCAGGAGCCCGATGTGGGGCTTGATCCCAGGACCCTGGGATCATGACCTGGGCGGAAGGCAGATGCTTAACCATCTGAGCCACCCAGGTGCCCCAAGGCTCTCTTCTTCTTGACCCTGACTTCCTTCTGGCACCTACCACTGGGGTTCCTTGCTGACTGCCGACTCCCTCCACCCTCTGGCCTCAGCCCTCCACACCTGGCCCTTGGGCATAACCCACTCAGTTGCCCTGCGACCCCCTGGCCTTGAGAGCAGTGTCTAGGGAGGCAGGCTCTGACCCTGTGGCCCCAGGAGCCAGGAGAGCTGTTCAGGCACGGATGGGCCCAAGCCCACCTGCAGAAGCCGCCTGCCCATGCATGTGTCCACTCAGAGAATGGGGCCCTCGTCACCCAGCCACTTTGACATGGCTGCTGAGCACTGAGTCCTGCTGGTCTACTGGTCTTCCAGACTGGGTCAGCTGTAGAGAGAATGACAAGCAAAGGGGTCCCTGCTGGGCATGGAAGTCTCCCTGCAGTAGCTGCCCATGGTGCGGAGGAGAGGTCCAGGGCAGCAAGTACCTACGCCAGCCCCACCTCCTCCCATGGCCACTGCAGCCTCCACATCAATGTGTCGGTCCGTGCAGTGGGGCTGAGCAGGCCACATGCAGTGGACACTCAAGGCACAGTGGGCCTGGGCCTGGGGCTCCTTGTGGAAGGAAGTAGGCTCAGGCCAGGTATCTGGTCATGGGCCAACCACGGGGTACTGACCACCTCCCCTGGTGGAAGCTGACGACATCCACTGACCTCTGGGGCACTGGCAGCGGGGTGCATAAGGGGAGGGCAGGAGGGAAGGACGATGGATGCTCGCTTCACTGAAGGACAAATTCACAAAACCCCTGCCGTCCCCAGCCCACATCTGTAAAGTGCAAGTCCTCCTCCAGGAGGGAGCACAGGACGCCCCACCCGCCCTGTCGGGCTGTTTCCACCAATGCCTGAATCCACCAGCCACTCTGTGCGGCCTGCTCTGAGGAATGCACGTGGGCCCTGGGGCATCGGAGGTGAGGACACCCAGTCAGGGCCTCTCCACATCGGCCACCCTTCATGGCTGTGGCATTACCACTCCCCCACCTGCCGTGATCTGCCTTATGCACCAAGACTGTCAATAGTGTCTACTCATCTGTCGCCACATCTGTCTGCACACCTGGAGAAAGGGCCGGGTAGGCGCCTGGCACCCAGCACGCAGCCCCAGCCGCTCCCCCTGCCACTGTCCACTGGCATCTGATCAACAGTCCTGGGCACAGGCTCTGGGGTCACCACCCCCCTCCGGGGTACAAGGGTACCACAGGACTCCCACTACTCTGCACCAAACACCAACAATCACTTCACCTCACGACTCAGCGTCCCCCGGGGGAGGCGGACCATGGGCAGTGCCCGCCTCTCAGCCGGCACTCAGCAAACACTGCTGAGCAATAGGCCCTGGCCTAGAGACAGCCCTGTGGAGGCCCACAGCAGTGCGGCTGGCGCCTGAGCTGCTGCAGGGCCATGGCCAGGGTCCAGGCACAGGAGCCACACAGATAAATGCACTCGGAGAAGCCAGGCCACAGCCCAACAATGGCCAGCGAGCACCTCAGCTAGAAACACAGATGCTGCAAGCCGCCACGGCCGTGAGCGCAGTGCTCCTCCCCAACCTGGTGCCCACTTGGTGGGATGGGGCTGCGGTCTCCAGGGGCACCTGGACCCCAGCCAACAGCCCAGAGCAGCACGGGGACCCCAGCCCCACTGCACACCAGCAGGGGTCTTCGCCACGTCGGAGCTCGGCCACAGCAGGTGCACACGGGATGGCTGTGAGGATGTGCCAGGCGCTGCACATGAAGGGCTCAGCATCCACCCCCACACGGCCATGCGGGCACCTGCCGGCTACTGCTGCACCTCTGAGCGCCTCACTGGGCCTGGCAACACCCCAACTGTCGCGGGCCCCTGCCCAGTTCCAGCAACCAGCCTCCTGACTCATGGCCGGCACAGGCGCCCCTGAGGCTCCAGGCCTCTTGGGGACCCGTCCTCCTGCCTCTGCTCCTTACCTATCTGCCCGACTCCAAGTAGGGGAAGACTTCCCCCAAATGACTGAGCAGCAGAGCCTCCACGTCCTCTGGTGACGGGGCCCATGGGCAGCTGGGACAGCTATGTTGCCCCTTGACAACTCCAGACGGGCCCTGGGAGCTGTCCACTGAGCCCCTTGCAGAAGCTGAGATGATCCAGGCCACATGCTCAGACACACCTCCCTAAAGAAGCCACCGTGAGGCCCCAGAGCTCAGCAGCACCTGACCACCAGCAGCTGCTCCGGACCCCGGTCAGCGGTGCTTGGGCCTTCCTCCTCCAGCCTGGGGCACCTCTGTGCAGCACAGAACAGGGCAAGTGAGGTGAAGCTCCACAACAGGGCACTCCTGAGCCACGGACACGTAGAGGAGAGCTCAGGGGCAAGGGGCCGGCGTGGGCAAGGGGTGCCCCCCGTGACTGGAGATGCCCACTGCAGTCATGTTATAGCTCGCATGTAGAAGCCAGCGACCCTGACACTGCTTCAGGAAGCCCGGGCTCTGATCCCTGCACTCCCGCAACAGTCGGCCGGCCCTGGGGACCCTCACCATGCCCACCAGGAGCGATGTCCCTGCAGAGGCTGCCGCAGTACCCCAAGGTGAGTGGCAGGGCGGGAACCCCATTTCCCATCAATCCCACAACTCAGCTTTGTGGCAGTGCCCGATGGGCTGCCGTCTCCCTCCCAGCAGACCCACCTCAGGTCGGCTGCTATGAGGTTAAAGCCGTTGTACAGATGGCCCTCCGCAGAGACCTTCTTCAAGTAGGACAAGCTGTCCATGTCTGTAGTCAGAAAGTGGGTCACAAGTTCACCTGTGGGTAGGGGACAGATACACATGGCCAAGGCAGCAGGGCTGAGTCCCTCGTCCTGGGGAGCCACACCTCATTCCCCTGGCAGCTAAGGAGGTCTGCTCCAAGAACTCTGTTTTTGTTAGGTTTTAATTTTTTTTTTCTGCCATTACACCCTAAATGGAAGTATAGCATGAGGGGAAAAAAATCTTCAGTGGGGACAATGTGTGTCCACGGAGCTGTCTTCCCACGGGGTACTGCTCTGCAAACATCTGACAGGTGCGGGACAATGACAACAGCCAGAAGTGACACTTTGGCCTGGGGCACAAATGTGGAGAGTGTTCCCTGAGAGGGGCAAACCATGTCTGTGCAGGTAGGTGCTGTGTGGGCCAGGCGGAGGGGGGGTTCCCACAGTGATGCCAGCCAGTGGGCCTCAGAGCCGGAAACACCCCACTTCCCCTTCTTCCTCCTCCTGTGTCCACATGTGCCCAGGAAAGCCCACCCCCCTGCCCCGCACCCTCCACCACAGCCCCATGGTACCTCGGCCCCGGGCATCTGGGTCCTGCCGTGGCTGCAGGTAGTTGGTGAGTGCAGCCAGCTTCCCCCGTGTGCTGATGCCCAGCCACGTGCCTCCTTCCTTGCCTTCCTCCATGTCAAGCCCTGTGGCAGATGATAGTGTCACCACCAGTAGCGCCTACTGCCCTGGCCCTGGGTGCTAGGGAGATACATGCTCAGCCCAGCAGCCCTGGCTAAGGAATAGGGGCTTGAACTACTCAGGGCAACGCAGCCCTAAAGCCCACAGGGCATGTGAGACAGATCATGCTCCCAGGATGACATCTGATGCCCATGGAGCCCCTGAAAGCTTGCGGTGGGACCTGGCATGTGTGGAATGCATCCTGATGCTTGGATCAACACTGGGCTGGGAGCACAGTACCAGCTCCATCCTAGCAATAGCACCAGGCCCCAATCCCACATCCTGGATCAGGTGCAGGGCCGCTGGCTTTCCTCCCCCAGCAGGACACACAGGCCCTCAGGCTGGGTGCTTCACTAGGAGCCCGGAGCACATCCAGGCCCACCTGTTTGCTTGATTCCCACCCCATAGGCCCAGGTCATGGTTAGCCCTCCATGGGGTCTCACCACTGGGTCAGTGAGGCCCTTTAAGTCATAGCAAAGTGTCTTTCTAGATTAGAGGATCATTTCAGTTGAAGACTGGGGTAAAAGCAGCTAAATCATTAAAATATCATTTTTATAATAATAATAAATTATAACAATAAAAGAAAGAAAGATGGAAAGATCAGAAAGGAAGGAGTAAACTGTATTTGTAGATGAGGGGATTACAGGTGAAGAAAATCCAAAAGGAATCTACAAAAAAAAAAAAAAAAAAATCTGCTGGGGGCACCTGGCTGGCTCAGTCAGAAGAGCATGGGACTCTTGATCTCAGGGTCCTGAGTTTGAGCCTGGTGTTAGATACAAAAATTACTAAAAAAAATAAATTAACTTAAAAAAATCTACTAGAACTGCTAAGTAAATAAAGGCAAGAATCAGAAAATGAAAATTTAAAGATACCATTTACAATAGCATTAAATAAAACAAAACGTAGGAAAACATTTAAGGAAAAATGCGTAACACCTAAAGACTGAAAACCACAGAGCAGCGCTGAGAGAAGTCAAGAATCTGTAACTAAAAGAGAGACAGGGATGCCCCGTTCCTCAACCGAAGAGTCAATGTTGTTAAGACGACAGTTCTCTCCAAATGGCCAGAAGAGTCAACACAATCCAAATCCAAATCCCAGGAAGCTTTTCTATTTTATAGAAATTAACAAGCTGACTTTAAAATTTATGTGCACACACAAAAGAGCCAGGATGGCCAAAGGAGTCCTGAAATAGAACAAAGCTGGAGGACTTAACACCACTTGATTTCAAAACTTGCTAAAAAAACTGCAGCAATCGAGACAGTGTGATGTTGGCATTAAGACAGACAAACAGATCAATGGCACACAAAGGAGTCCAAAATAGATCCACACATGTGTTCAACTGATTTTCAACCACGTTGCCATAGGAATGCAATAGGCAAAAGAGTTATCTATTCAATAAATAAGGCTAGGAGAACTTGAGATATGAATCTCAACCCCTACCTCACACCAAGTACAAAAATGTAAGATAAATCATAGACCTAAACACAAAACCCTAAATCAAAAGGCTTCTAGAAGCAAAAAGAGGAAAACATCTTTATGGCTTTAGGGTAGGCAAAGACACAAACAGAATAAACCATAAAAGAGTAAACTTCACTTCACGAAAAGAAAATATTCTGCTCACCAGAAGATGTCATTAAGAAAATGAGGAGGCAATACATTTATCCAACAAGGGACTCCAATCCAGAATGCATAAAAAACTCCTACAAATCAAACACTGAAAAGTAAACAAGAATTCCGTATCTGGCCAATCACCAGGGACCAGATTTACTCTCCTACCTAAAACCACCAAAAGAAAATACATGAAACAATGCGTTTCAAGATACTGGACATCAAAAAACAAAGGACACAGATCTCTGAGACAAGAAATAAACTAGGCGAACCCCAAGACTGGAGAGAGTCTCCAGGACACTGCATGGGGAGGAGACCCAGGCCGAGGGTCTGGACTCCACCGGACTCCCTGGCCGAGGAGAAGGGCTGGGAGCTTGAGGAGACTGAGGAGACCAGAGCTCCCAGGACAGAAGACCAGAGAGGAGAGAGCTGCACAGAACCCCAGACAACTGATCGGTACATGTGTGTGAGGAAACTACCCGTGGCCAAGAAAGAGCCATCCAGAAAGATTAGAGGAGACAGTGCTCATGCAGGGCTGGGAATAGTGCCTGTTCCTAGAAGTCAGCCTGGAAAACCTCAAGATCTAGGGAGCACAGGCAAGGGAAGACCGAAGGATCTTGCCTGAGGAGTAGGGAATCATTGGCCTTAGACTGGGCATAGCTTCAGAGCCACTTAACCAATCTTAAAAGCAAGATCTGAAAGGATCAAATTGTTTCTGAGCATCTTGACTGTGTCCCGGGACAAAGCTCAAAAATATGTATAGATATACAAAATATTCGGTCCCCAACAAGATAAAACCCATAAATGTTTGGCATCCAATCAAAAATTACCAAGCATGCAAAGAAGCAGAAAAACATGGCCCTGCTTACTAAAAGTTCAGTCAATCTAGTCAAACTGAACTGGAACAGACACAGACATCAGACTTTGCAGACAAGGATATTTAAACAGCTATTAAAACTATACTCTGTATGCTAAAATAGTTAAGAACATACAAAGAAGATAGAATAATTGAATTTCTAGAGATAAAAACTACAATGTGTGAGAGAAAAAACATATACGATGGGGTTAAAAGCAGATTAGACACCGGAGAAAGAAAGATTAGTGAATGTGGTTATGGCAATAGAAATGATCTAAAATGAAACAGAGAAAAGAGGGTTTTTAAAAATGAATTGAGCATTATCAAGGGTGCCTGAGTGGCTCAGTCAGTTAAGTGTCTGACTCTTGATTTTGGCTCAGGTCATGATCTCAGGGTCGTGAGACTGAGCCCCGCGTCAGGCTCTGCGCTCAGCAGTGTATCTGCTTGAGATTCTCTCTCTCTTCCTCTGCCCCTCCCCTCATTCATGCACACCCGTGTGCACACTCTCTCTAAAAAACTGAGAAATAAAATCTTTTTTTTTTTTTTTTTAAGATTTTATTTATTTATTTGACAGAGAAAGACACAGCGAGAGAGGGAACACAAGCAGGGGGAGTGGGAGAGGGAGAAGCAGACTCCCTGCCGAGCAGGGAGCCCGATGCGGACTCGATCCCGGGACTCCAGGATCATGACCCGAGCCGAAGGCAGTCGCTTAACCAACTGAGCCACCCAGGCGCCGAAATAAAATCTTTTAATAAAATGAACTGAGCATCATCAAAGTGTGGGACAACACAACCTATATGTGTGAATAGGCAGAGAGAAGGAAAGAGATCGAAAAGAAAGAGCAGGAGACAGAAAAAATATTTTAAAAAATAATACCTGAATTTTTCCAAACTTCTAACAAGTTCCCAAGCAATGCTGATGCTACTAGCTCACAGATCGCATCTGGAGAACCACTGGCCTACAATTCTGCACACAATTTGGTGATGTCAGATGGCGGGAGGATGCGGATCTTAGTGTCTTCCAGCCCTAACTGGTGCAGTGGCCACTGGGCCCACCCGGCACTGTCATGCAGCAGGGCCACCCTCCCACTAGGCAGGAGCCCCGTATCAGCATGCCAGAGACCAACTCCAAATCACTACAAAGGGTGAAGGATTCCAAGTGGCTGGAACCCCTCAGCAGGGATTGGCCCTGATTTAGGGGCAGGGTGCAGGCCTGAGTGCCTAAGCAGCATGGAGCCCAGGTGGCCAGGACGGCCAAAAGAGCCCAAACAGGCTAACCCTTCATCTGTGTACTGTTCTACAAAAGTACTCAAGAAGTGCCATCAGGCCCTCACCCCACCCACCCTGACCGTCCCCACCCCCCCACGCCATACAGCCACCCATTCATGCCCGGCAGCAGCAACACACACGGCCTGCCCCATCCCCATGAGCCCCTTCCATTCTACTCTAGCTCAGGATGGTTGGCATGGTACTGGCCAGGCCCACAGGCTCCCCTCAGCCCTCCTCGCATTGCCCTGCAGGCCTGACCCTCGACCTCTGGGAGAGCCATGGCTGGCCCAGCCAAGGACCCCACATACATGGCCCCCCTGGGGTTACTGTACTGAAGTACCTGGAGCTTCCACAACAGGGGTCTCTGGCCCCCCACTTCTGTCCGCACATCTAGACATTTCCAATGTCTCCCGCGCAGCTTCTGAGGAGGCCAAGACATAACCCAGAGACCTAGCCTTCTCCCTCTTGCTCTTAGTGAGAGGGGTCTCACAACAGCTTTCCCCACCACCTGCCAGACCTCCTGTCCACGACACTGCCCTGCCTCAGTCTCCCCACTCCTGTCCTCTTTCCACATGGCACCAGAACGATCCAGCCTGGGCAGTGTTTTCCTCATACCAATGCCCAACCAGTCTATACAGGAGGCCCTCTATAGAAGTTCCACAGTCAAGCTTTTAGATGCTGCAGGCGAAGCAGGGCACACCTGGTGTCCCCAGACCCCTGAGGGCACCCACTCAGCCCACTGGGCACCTGAGCACCCCTGTCAGCCCTGCCAGGTTCCTTTTTGCTTCCCTGATGCCTAGCTCGCAGGCAGAGGGACCTTGGCCTGGCCAATACCTGTCCACATGCCCTCCAAGTAGACCCCTGTCCGCCCCATGGGCAGAAACTGCTCTCTGTCCACGGGGCTCAGGGAGGCTGCCCGCTGAGCCAGCAGGGGACACAGCTGTCACCTCCGCTTCTGCCTCCCTCTGTGGGAACTCCTCATGCAGCTCCCATCTGAACGTGCTCCAACCAAGCCTCTGCTTCCCAAATTCAGACCATCTCTGGAGCAAGGCGTGCCGGTGTGTAAAGAGAAATGCATGTGCTCGCGTGCGCACACACACACACACACACCCCAACTACGATGCTTCACAGAGTGACCGAATGTGAACCTGCACCTCATACAAACCCAACCACACGTGCAAAGCGAAAAGGTGGATCCAAATAAAACCAACTGATCCTTCCAGCTACTTCTCTGGGAACCCACAACACATGAAACCATGTGGATGGCGCTGGGTAGACACTTCGGGGCTGGTCACCTCAATGCTGGCCCCAGACCCCAACCTGGGAGCCTCCCCCATGAGACCAGTCAGTGTCCACTCCTTCATTCTGCACTTACACGGAGAGGCAGCACCAGTAACAGTTAAAAGCACTCTGGGGCTCCTACTTCCTGCCATGTTGTGGCCGCCCCCCGAGGAAAGACTCACCACTGAGGACCTCATTGTTGCTCCCCCAGAAGTCAGCTAGCTTGGATGGTCTGTGGTAAAATTCATCCCTGTTGGCCGCCAGGATGAGCCTGAAAGAGAAAGCATGACCAACGGTCTCAGGGGAAAACAGAAAAGCCATTTTTTTCTCCTGTTAACAAAGAAAATTTGCCTCCTTTAGCAACATAGGCAAGTCCTAAAGAGGACAGGAACCCTCAGGAGACAAAGATCATGATGGCGCCAGACAGGTGGGTTTCCTAGGGAGCCTTCGGCCAAGACTGTACCCCAGGACCCTGACAAAGAGAGAGGCGATGCTGGGCAAAGACGCATATCCCATCCCACCCTGCATACCCCACTTACCCAAAAAGGGCAGCAGCACCTGCACAGGCATGTCCCAGGTGCCCCGGTGGCAGAGAAGTACCCCTTCTGCCCATCTGTCCCTTCCCCCGAGGCCATCCCCAGTGAGCCCCTGACTTCCTGGAAATGTGAGCAGGCCCACCAGAAGGGCCCTGGGGACATGTGGAGCAGCGGCAGAGCACAGGATCTCTGGAGGCTGCTGTCCTGCATTTTGGGGTGTTTGGGGGAAGGAAGTGGGGTAAGAACTTCTGTGTTTCTCTAGTTTTTTGCATTATGAATCCAACAAGTTTTTTGTTGGCAAGCAGAGAAGATGTCAATGTTTTCAAAAGAGTTCTAGTTTTAACATAAGAAAACAAAGTTTCTGGACATCTGTGTGGCTCAGTTAGTTAAGCGACTGCCTTTGGCCCAGGTCATGATCCCGGAGTCCTGGGATCAAGTCCTGCATCGGGCTCCCGGCTCGGCAGGGAGCCAGCTTCTCCCTTGGACCCTCTCCCCTCTCATGCTGTTTCTCTCTCTCTCTCAAATAATAAATAAAATCTTAAAAAAAAAAAGAAAACAAAGTTTCTAGTCGGCTTTGCCCTTTTAAATAAGAACACAGACTGTGACTGAGTGGGGCTGCCACGTCTGTGAGACCTCTGGGTCTAAGAAGGGACAGCCAAAGGACCCTCTGAGCACCACCGGCAGGTGCACAAAGGACACGGGGCCAGGAGCTACGGCTTGGCCACCTGTGGTCACACTGGGTCTGAAACCAAGTCAGTCTAGTCAGTGGTCAGATCCTAAGGAGTCTTCAAAAATCATTTTTGTATTGACTCTTAGATATTTATGAACATTTAGGGGCGCCTGGGTGGCTCAGTTGGTTAAGTGTCTGCCTTCAGCTCAGGTCACGATCTCAGGGTCCTGGGATCAAGTCCCGCATTGGGCTCCCTGCTCAGCGGAGAGTCCGCCTGTCCCTCTCCCTCCGTCCCTCCCCCCGGCTCACACATGTACCATCTCTTTCTCTGTCAATCAAAATCTTAAAAAAAAAAAAAAAAAGATTTTTATGGACACTTGCTTGTGGTAAAATGTGAGTTAACAAAGTTCTATTCCCCCGGGCACAGCACTCTGGGCTGCTCCAGGTCTCAGGGACAGGCACTTAGGGAGCAGTCGCTGTCCCTGATACGAAACCCAGCCATTCACAGAACAATCCTCTGCAGCGCCACCTGCCGGACCCCAGGCCCGGTCTGAGGAAGACAGCCTTAGGGAGAAGCCAGCCGGGCCCTGACCTCTTTTATCTTCTGCCACATCTGCTTTGTCCCTTCCTTCTGCGACTCAATTCTGGACCCAACCTGGCTAGCACTGCTCCCACAGGCTACGTGTATGGGCCGGGCACCCCACCAACCCGTGGGTGGAGGTCATTCCACGTGGTCAGGAAACAGTGTCCGCCTTCAGAATCCCAAGCACCGCTCCTCTGCTCACTCGTCCTGACACCTATGCTGAGAGGGGGCCGGGGAGGCCGGGGAGGCCAGCGAGGTGCTTCCCAAATGGAGACTGGTGCTTTTGGCTTCTGGTTCTGATTCTTACGTAAGTCTCCAGAAAAGGAAAAATTAGGGAAAAAAAAAAAAGCTGACTGAGCAGAAACTTGTCCTAAGATTTTCAACTCCCTACTATTTTTAAAACAAGGAGCAGTGACACGCATTTGTTAATAACTAGGAATATTAATAACTGCCCGGTTATTTCTGCCATGAGAGTCGCTATTTTGCTGAATTGCTAGTGGTTTGTTGGGGATTTCATTAAATACCTAATTGGGAGACGTGGGCATGATGAGTACCCACATCAAGGCTCCAAGTAAGAGAAAGTATTCCCTCACTCACCACTTCTGGATACTGCAACACCAATAAAAGTCCCATCTGTGCCACAGCGCCCAGGGGCAGGGGCCATGCCCACCAGTCAGGGGCTCGGAGGACAGCAAGTCAGGTTTGTTTTGTTCTAACAACTGAAACCACTAATTACTCATCGATGGGCACTCCTCACCCTGCTACTGGGGGTGAGTCTGTGCACCGTCTGGAGGTACTAGGTAGATCTGTGTACCACCTGAGTGTGAGAGTCTGCGCAACACCTGGGGGGTGAGTCTGCACACCATCTAGGATGGCGGAGTCTGCACACCATCTGGGGAGTGAGTGTGTACCATCTGGGATGGCTGAGTCTGCACACCATCTGGGAGCGTGCGTCTGTATACCATCTAGGGGGTGAGTCAGTGCACCATCTGGGGGAGGTAGGCGTGTGCACCATCTGGCAGGTGAGTTGTGTGTCGTCTAGAAGGTGAGTCAGGGCACCATCTCAGGGGCTGAATCTGTGTACTATGGGGTGGGGGATCTCGGCACCATCTGAGGGGCAAGTCTGTGCACCATCTGGGGAGAGTTTAGTGCCAGGTAGCAGGTGCACAGGCCCATGGCCCAGTGATGTCACCAGCAGTGATGAGTCCCATGGAAGCCACCAGAAGGATGTGACAGCTCGCCCAGCAGCCCCTCCAGACTGGAGCCAACAAGGGGAATTAGCTCATGAGTCTAAACAGACATTTTGATAAAGACGGTGGTTATACTACAGCCATGACAGTGTTACCTGATGGGAAGCATACTGGTTTTCTATGGGGCCTCACCAATTGCCACACACATAGCGTCCGTATACAGTAGCTCAGAGCAACGTCTACTTCTCATCTCAGTCTTTGGTCAGGAGCGCGGGCCGGGATGTGCTGGGTGCTCTGCTCAGTGGCCCCTGAGGTAGCACCCAAGGTGCCGACCAGCAAGGTGTCGCTGAGGTTCGGGATCTTATGTTCCTGAGGTTGCTGCAGAATTCCCATCCTAGGCCGGGGTCACTCTCAACTCCTAGAGGCCACCCCCAGTTCCTGGCCATGGGCCCCTCCAAGCACAGCAGCTTACCTCTTCAGGAGGGGCTTGGCCCCACCTGGGGGCTCTTCTGATTACATCAGTGCCACCCAGGACTGCTCCCATTTGACTAACTCCAACTCAACTGATTAGGGACTTTTGTCACATTGGCAAAATCCCTTCACATTGAGCCCCACAGCCCCACACACAACCAGGGGAATGAATGACACTGGTGTGTACAGCGAGGGCAGGAATCTTGGGAGCCATCAGCCTACCACAGGGGTTACGGGAGCTCACATTTTACTTTGTACATCCTGTAGGGTATGACTTCTTTTCAAAGAGCACGTACCCCTTTACAATCAGGGACATAACTAGAACCCCAGGGAAACACCGCTGCCTCCACAGAGCAAGGTCATGGGGATCCTGGGGCAAAGCTGCAGCCAGCACGGAAAAGTTCCAAGTCAGCAGCTCACAGGCTGCTAAAACCGTTTCTTACCTGCTACGCTCCTTGCCTCAGTGCTGCAGATATCCGTACTAAAATTTAAAACGAACGGAAACAACAGGCGCCCAGACAGTACTCACACTGGATAATTGTCACCAAAAATTGGAGGTTCCAAGTGCCACATAACAACAGGCATGGGAGGCAGAGGCTGGGACGACCCAGGGGAATCCCACGTCTGGGCAGGGGCCATGATGCCCCATGGCAGAAGCAACCCCAGGATGGAGTGACTCCCACGGAGCCCACCTCACCAGGGCCAGCTCAGCACCAAGAGGACAGGTTGGGAGGCCCGAGGGCATTTGGGGAGTCATGCCAGGGCAGTGCTTGCGGGGAGGCAGCAGTGGGATGTGACCTGGGGACCGCTGCCACATCTGGAGGGATGGGTATCCCCAACAGCGAGGGGCAGTGGGATGTTGACATGGGGGATGGGAGGTGTAGACCACGGGATCCATGACACCAGGGCCCAGCCCAGCGTCAGGCCTGGAGATGCTCTGCAGAAGTGGCCATGCTCACATTCACTCCTTGGGCAGGTGCTGAGCTGGCTCCCTCCCTGCCTGCACCCGGTGAGCGTCACTCAACAACACACTGTGACTGCCAAATCTGGGGGGAAGAGACCACAAGATGCATGCTCCGCGGTAGGCTACACTTTCTCTCGTGGGGAAACAGATGATACGATGCTTGAACGAGGCCCAAGAGAAGGAGAGATGCTTCAGGAGCCATGCCTTTCACCAGCAGGCCTGCAAAGTGGCAGGCACAGACCAAGCACCACCATCGCTGGGCCATCCCAGGCAGGGCATGACAGGGACAGGCTCATCTTCCAGGAACTGACTCCTGGGAGGTCAGAAAACACATTCCCGTGAGATCAGCATCTGGCAATGGCAGAGCCGTGGGTGACACTGCCCACAGCGTCAAAGGTGAGGATGTCTCATTCTTTTCTGTAGGGCAGATATTTAAATCATTTACATAGACAGTTGACCCTTGAACACAGGGGTTAAGGGAACCAACCGCCCTCCCCGCAGAGTCAAAAATCCAAGTATAACTTTTTTTTTTTAAGATCTTATCTATTCAGGGGCACCTGGGTGGCTCAGTCAGTTAAGCGGCTGCCTTCGGCTCAGGTCATGATCCCAGGGTCCTGGGATTGAGCCCCACGTCGGGCTCCCTGCTCGGCAGGGAGCCTCCTTCTCCTTCTCCCTCTGTCTCCCTCTCTGCCTACTTGTGCTCTCTATCTCTCTGTCAAATAAATAAAATCTTTAAAAAAAAAAAATCTTATCTATTCATTTGACTGAGAGAGAGAGGAAGAGAGGGGGGAGCACAAGCAGGGGAAGCAGCAGAGGGAGAGGGAGAATCAGGCTTCCCACTAGGCAGGAAGCCCAACATGGGGCTCCATCCCAGAACCCTGGGATCATGACCTGAGCCGAAGGCAGATGCTTAACCGAGTAAGCCACCCAGGCTCCCCAAAAATCCATGTATAACTTTTGACTCCACCAAAACTTAACTAGTACTGGCCTACTGTTCACCACAAACCTTACCAATAACATAAACAGTTCAATCCACATGTATTTTATATGTTATATATATTACATACCGTATTTTTTACAATAAAGTAAGCTAGAGAAAAATAAAACATTATTAAGAAAATCATAAAGAGGAGCGCCTCACTGGCTCATTGGTGGAACCCATGACTGACTCTTGATCTCAGGGTTGTGAGTCCAAGCCCCACGTTGGGTGTAGAGATCACTTGAAAAATCGAGTAAAAAAAAAAAAAAAAATCATAAGGAAGAGAAAATACATTTATAGTACTGTACTTTAAAAAATCGGCATGTCAGGGCACCTGGGTGGCTCAGTCGTTAAGCGTCTGCCTTCGGCTCAGGTCATGGTCCCAGGGTCCTGGGATCGAGCCACGCATCGGGCTCCCTGCTCAGCGGGAAGCCTGCTTCTCCCTCTCCCACTCCCCCTGCTTGTGTTCCCTCTCTTGCTGTGTTTCTGTCAAATAAATAAATAAAATCTTAAAAAAGAAAAAATCGGCATGTAAGTGGACCTGCACAGTTCAAATCCATGTTGTTCAAAGGTCAACTTTCCATGGCAAGGATGGCCACCATTCCAGCTATAAAAGTCCCCTTCGCAACCATCTGACCCTGGAGCAGCAATGACTGCAGGGATGAGCTCAACCCACAAACAAAACCAGGTGCTTCCCATTACCCCAAGTGCCAAGAGGCCACTGCATGTGTGTTGATATTGAGGGTGCCTAAGAGAGCACACGGAGCACAGGGTCTTCGATGGGTCCCAGCCATGTGGACCAGTTTGGTGGGCAGCAGAGTCCAAGTGGATGGTGGCCCTGGCACCTGGTTTGTCTGGCTTGGTGGGAGAGAACTTGGTCTGGACAGTGAACAATGATGACACACCGTGAAGACATACTCCACCACCAAACGGATACATGGGCTGGCATGGCTTGGGAAGCCTATGGCACGGCCATCGAAAGACACTCGCAGGAATCAATTTGGTAGTTCCTCAGAAAGTCGAAAACAGAACTGCCATGTGATCCAGTAGTTCTGCCTCGGGGTATACCCGCCCCCAAAAAAGAATGGAAAGCGGGACTCAAACAGACACTTGTATACTATCTCCACGGCAGCATGACTCACAATAGCCAAGAAGTGGAAATAGTCCAAGTGTCCATCAAGAGATGAATGGATAAAAATGTGGTCCTGCATACAGTGGGATGTTACTGAGCCTTAAGAAGGAAGGAGATTCTGACACATGCTACACCGTGATCTTGAGGACACTATGCTCAATAAAATAAGCCAGTCACATAAAAATACGATTCCACTTGTATGAGGTCCCCAGAGTAGTCAAGGTCATTGAAACAAAGTAGACTGGTGGTTGCCAGGGGCTGGGGGGAGGGAAACGGGAAGTCAGTGTTTGGTGGAGACAGAGATTCAGCTGGGGACAATGAAGAGTTCTGGAGATGGATGGCGGGGATGGTTGCACAACGACGTGAATGTACTTAATGCCACTGAACTGGACACTTGTCAATGGTTAGAATGGCACACACTCCTATTCCTGCCAATTATTAGGTGGGGGGGGAGGGGAGATGAAGACACAGCAGTGCATGCTAACGTGGAGGGCAGAGGCTGGTGCATCCCAGGCCAGGACAGGGATGGCTAAAGCAGGAGGGAGCCCAAGTGAGGGACGCTGGGGCAGGTCCTGCTGGCCCCATCGGCTCCTGGCAGCACTGCCTAGCCAGGGCCTCCTCCCCACCACACTGATGGCCCTGGAGCCTGGCCTGCTCCCCATTCCACTCTAGGCACCGGGAACCCCTCTCCAATCTCTGACAGGCCCAGGCTTGGCCTCTCCTCACTGGCCCTGCTGCAGTGTCCCTCCCATGCGGCCCCCTCCCTGCTCCTCCCATCCTTTTCTCCTATCACACATGTATGGAAGCATGAATACCAAGGGCCCACAGCCCACCCATTCTCAAGGGCCAGACAACCCCACAGCTAGAGTAGGAGCAGCTACCGGAAGTCCCTCTTGCCCCCACCCCCCCACGCAATAGGGTAAACAACAAGTGTATTTGGTCAGTCACCAGCGGTGGTATGTTTAGGTTTTGGCTTAGGGCTTTGGAATACACTGGAGAGAAACATTAAGGCTGTCTTGAATCACAATCCACAAGGAGTCGTTATGAAGAGAGGTCTTGGCAGTGATGCACAGGTCCCGAGCGAAAACAAGAGAGACCTCCTTCCTCCTTCTTCCCATGTTTATTTTACTGGCAGGAGACTGGAGGTAACCTCAGGAAACAGCATTTCCAGGGAGGCTGCGGCTGAATCTGGTAGTAAATATAGCCAGGAACAGACTCAGGGAATTGTCAGGCTGCGTGTCCCCGTGTGAGAAATCCTTATCAGGTCAAAACAGAGTCATTTTGTTGGTATGTGAGAGTTCACGTGAGCACAGAAGGGTGCACATGAAACCTCAGTAGCCAAAGGGGTAGACCATGTCAGTAATCCCGCTATTATGTCTCAGCCCCAAATTTGCCCTTCACTGCCTCCTCAGGATAAAGGAGCTGACGTTGGGGCTAGTACCATATTAAGTTTCGTCAGTAGAGGGCGCTGAAGAGACACCGCAGGACACTCCTGGCAACATGCCTGGCTCCCCAAGGATGAGTCCGGTTACACATGCGGCTTCCCCCACGCACCTAGTGACCAGCACCTCTCCCCAGTATCCTCCCGAGACAGTTGCCCGCACACCGGAGGGCAGACTCCTAGCAAGTTCCACTGCCATGGCACCCCAGCGATTTCTTTGCTATCCAGTGTGCCGCGGCTGAGCGTCTCCGGCAAGGTCTGGCTCTCAGCCTGAAGGTGGAAGACGGGGTTCCACCCAGGGCATTCCAATCCTGTTATAGTCAATAATTCTGGATGTTACACTTCCCCTGCTCAAATCACTGCCCCTGGATCCTGCCCACTGGCTACACCCCAGTTCATTCTGCTGGGGGTCATGCAGGGTCAGCTCCAGGACCCTGGCCTGGCCCTGCTGTCCATTCCTCTGCATGATGGGAACACTGGGGACTCTTCAGTCCCCAACTTCTGGCCTGGAATGAGTTTCATTCAGCACAAAATTAGGCAGCATGGTGTCTGTGCAATTTTGCACGGTGACTCAAGTCTAAGAAGCTAATCAAAATGGTTCAAATCATTTCTGGTATAGATTTCAAAATGATGAAAACTTTCCAAGCAATCGTACTAGTGATCAGTTTAAAATGTCATTTTGGTTGTGGGTTACCTCTCAGCCTCATACTTGGAAAAACACGGAAAAATTCCCACTGGGTACCCCAGGAAACAGAGGGGCACATCCAGAGCCCAAGGTCATGGGGAGGAAGGGGGTGCACTGGATCATGTCTCATTCCTCTCTGGCCTCAGTTTCCCACCTCCTCTGCTGATCTCCCAGCTTCCCCACCCCCACCCTCATTCCCCAGCTCAGGACCCACAGACCCTGTGTTCCTACCACCACCCAGACTTACCACTGGCAACACAGACGAGCCCAGTCTAAATGGGGCTCTTGTGGGGCGCCTGGGTGGCTCAGTTGGTTAAGCGACTGCCTTCGGCTCAGGTCATGATCCTGGAGTCCCGGGATCGAGTCCCGCATCGGGCTCCCTGCTCAGCAGGGAGTCTGCTTCGTCCTCTGACCCTATCCCCTCTCATGTGTTCTCTCTCTCTCATTCTCTCTCTCTCAAATAAATAAATAAAATCTTTAAAAATAAATAAATAAATAAATAAATGGGGCTCTTGCTCATCAAGCCAGTTCTGCTGCCCCTGGCGCCCCTGCAGAAACCACAGGGCTGCGCCCCTACCTGGCCCAACATGGCTCCTCTGTCCTGCCCCTACAGCGACCTTAAGCAGCTAAGCCTCTGCACCTTTGTATGTCAGTTCAGCTTTCCTGCCACCTGGCAGTACCCACTCCTGCATCCCACACTGAATAACTGCTGTTGGACAGGGCAGGCCCAGCCTGTACAGCTTGTCCCCACCTGGGCGCTATGAGGACTGTGGGGCACCTGAGGCCAAGCGGAGGACAGTAGACACAGAGCAAGGGGGTTACCTGTATGCATTTTTAGAAACAGGGCGAGGATCGAACTTAAAGAAGATGATGCACATGGGTCCCTGAGAGCAGCTTTGTTCACACAGGGTCACCAGTCTGCGGGAAAAGGAAAAAAAAATGTGTTGAATAAACAGCAGACAACACACCACTGCCTCCCCGAACCTGCAGTGCTCCCTGGCCCAGAAGAGAACTGCCTCTGGGATGCCCCTGACCCTTGTGGACACGGCAGAACCATACACCAGACACCGTGACGCTCACCAGCACCGCCCAACCATTTCCCTAAGTGCTCACACACATCAGCATGGGCCAGACTGGCCCCCGCTGCCTGCCACGCTCACTGGCCCTGGACACACCACGTGGAGGGTGGCCACAGGAGCAAGAATGAGAACCTGGCGGCCTCTGGGGCCAGCAGATCTTTTCCCCTAACCGAACTGAGAACAGAGATGAGATCCTGAGGCCACTGACCCTGGATAAGGTGACTGAGGGTCTCTAGCCCTGCATGTGTGCCTGAGCCAGGGCAAGGCTGCAGAGCAGAGCCAGCGGCCGCAGCCAGGGAACAGACAACACAGAGGCTGCGGAGACACTAAAGGGAGCCAAAAAAGATGCCCCCAGAAGAGCCTCAGGAGCAAGGGGGGTGAGGGAGTGTTCGGCGTATGTGCATGTACATGAGGCCTTGAGGTCTGCGTGCATGTGCAAGTGTACAGTTATGTGTGGGTGTTTGCAAGTGTGTGCTTCCGCAGATGTCTGCGTGCATGTGTGTGACTGTGTGTCCACTGAGCTCCAAGTGCACTAGCCTGGGGAGCCCTGGGACTGGGGAGGGTCCGTGCAGGACCCTGCCACCCCCCTCACCCCCGCCCAGAACACAGCACCTACTAGAGCAAGGTTTGGGGTCCGCATCTTTAAAGAGGGTCTGTGAACTGGGCCCCAGCTGGGAGAAGGTGGGATGAGATGCCCAGACCCTGCCCATCCTTGCTCCAGGTTTCAACATAAACCACGAACACCGTGCCACTCCAAACCCTCTGCCCCCAAGCCTTGGAGAAGCCACACGGAGGTGGGGGGAGGGGAGGGTACTTTAGGCATGGGAGGAGCAGGAGTGGGCCGAGAGGGGCTCCAGCTCCCTGCCCCAGGCCAGGGTCCCCACCACCCACACACGACAGTCCCGAGAGAGGCGCACCCCGGCCATAGGATTGGGCAGGTGAACAGAGGAGAGGTGAGAGCCCCCCTCTATGCCAGTACAACTTCTCCCAGGTCTTGGGTCTCCGAAGCAAAACATTTTCTGTTTTGGGACTCAGAAGGAGGACGTTCCCACCACGCCGACCCTGCCATCTAAGCTGTGCCAGCACCCAAGCATGGGTGGGTGGGTGGACAGGTGGCAGGGGCTCTGGCCACAGAGCATGGAAGAGCCAAGGAGGGGCCAAAGCCTGAGGCTGGCCCCGTGGACACGACCACAGCTCGGAGCCACATGGAGGTCTTCCTGTGGATGACATCATGCTGTCCCTGCCTCTCCACTCATTTCTGGCTCACTGGTCTGGCTGGCCTGGGAAGTAGAGGGAGGGGGTCAGGGAGGAAGGATCTACTCGACTACTGTCGCCACTGGCTCCCACAGGCCCTGGAGGGATCCCCACGACTCAGCCCCATGTTCCCCCCAGCCCCTACAGGCACGAGCATCAGTGATGCCTCAGGGGACCCAACCCTGTCCTCAGTAAAACCTTTGACTGTGCAGGTGAGACATCACCATGGTGACCAGTGCCACTGCAGAAATGCAGGGTGCCGGAAGATGGAGCCAAAGGCAGTGCCCGATGCAGAAGAGGGCCCCGAGGTGACAGGAGCAGGCTGGGTTCCCACCCTTGGCTGCCCTGGTAGTGCCCACTAGGGCCATCATCCTAGGCTTACCTGATATCAAGACTGGTGGGCAGGCTGTTGGAACTGGACCCTTCTAGTAAAAACAACTCAAAATGCTTGAAAGAATATGAAAACATCTTAAAAGCAGCCATGAACTAACAAGGTCATGCAGGATTTGGCCAATATCTCGGAGAACGTGGAAACCCAGAGAGGAAAGAAAGCGGAGTACACTGGCTTTTCCTGCCCTGAGGCACTGGCCCATCTGGGCAAACTGGGCTCTGGTCGCCCAAGGTGAGGGAGACTGAAGACGAGGCCCAGGGCTGTCCCCAAGATGGGGCTGTAGTAGGATACCCTCCCCTGAGTGGAGCTGGGACCCTGAAAGGCAGCCCTCCTAGGGTGAGGGGGGGCTCTATCCACAGCCACCCCCAGGGGCCACAGGAACAGCACACAAAGTGGGGAGAGTCCCTGAGAAGCCACAAGAGCACAGCCGGGGCCACACTGGGGGTCCAGGGATCCTCATGCCAAGACTTGGATGGAAGGGCTCCCACACTGGTAGTGCTCCTAGGCACCTGGAGAACCGAAGTTCTCATCTTCATGCTAGACCTCTGAGAAGTCTCACAAATCATTTCAAGGACAAAGAGCAGGACAGTCAGAAAGAACACCACATAACAAAACAAAGCGCCATAAGCAAAGACCAGCAGAAACGGATCCCCACACCAACCAGGCTCTCACTGCAGAAAAAGAAGCTTGAGAGTATTTGCAGGAAAAGGATGTGAGAAAGAGTAAACCAGGAGGTTCACAAAGCACCAGAAAGGACTTTTAGGACCAGAAGCTATAGAAACCACAGATTAAAACTCAGCAGTGGATTTAAGATGAGCAGATTAGACACAGCTGATGAGACAGATCAAATTGTCCAGAACGCTGTGCAGGGAGGTAGGAAGCATGTGGGGCCTCCTGAGGGGCCCCACCTGCCAGGTGCAGGGGATGGGAACCTGCCACGCAGCCGTGGTCCAGCACAGAAGACACAGGCCTTCTCACTCCCAGGGAGCTAGTCTCTCCCACAAATGAGAATACTGCAGGAGAGGCCAACCGGCACTGCCTGTGGCAACCAGGCCAACCGTGGTCAGTGGGAGAAGTCCTGCCAACCCATCACTTCTGAAATCCCACCCACCCAGAGCCCTACCAGGACAGAGGATTGTTCTGAGGATTGCTCCACCAGGGACATGCTGCCCCACCAAGGACATGCAGCTCTTGTCAGATGAGGCCCTCATGTAAGCCTTGGCCTGCTGTGCACCTCACTGGGCTGTGTGCCCAGCTGCTGGGCAAGGCCATCCACTGGGGGCAGCTCTGGCTACTGATGCTCACAAGCCAGAAGTAGAGCCCTCCAACTTGGCTGCAGGACCTTGCCATCCTAGCCAGCCTGTGTGGGTGGCAGACCTGCCCTCCAGACAGGGGTAGCAGGGAGGGCTCTGTGGTTGGAGGAAAGGCCACTGATGGGTCTCCAGGCAGCCTGGCGCCAGAGGTGTGGGCACAAAGCCCAGGGCTGCGGCCTCGATGAAGACGTGGTCATTGGGAGGGAAGGACCAGAGGAAAGCCAGCCCCTGGGGAGGGGACCATCAGGAACTGCCTTTCTCTCCAATCCCTCGCCCCCCACTCAAGCCAGGCCCGCTGCCCACTGCCCCACCCCTTCTCAGCTCCACGTCCCACCACCCCCGCAATCTCATTCACCTAGGCAGGTCCCATAGGTGCAGGGCCCTTCTCCCAGCATGCCCCCACCCAGGCCCTAGTGAAATCCTCCGACACCCTACTTGTTGGGCCACCGTCTCACTCCTGCTGACATTCAGGGCTCCCCGAGCGAGCTCCGGGTACAGACACTGTGGTCCCAGTTACCATTCCCGCCGGCTGGACACAGGGCGGGCAGGAGGCTGGAACTGCTAACAGGGGCAAACTGAGTCCTGCTCCTGCCATTGCACACCTGCCTGCCTGGCCACTTGGGGCACTAAGAAAACACTGCTCTCCACTTCCCAGGGTTCCAAGGCTGGCACAGTGGGAAAGAGATAGGGAAGGGCTTCTATAGGCCCCACCCTGCCAGATGGGGCTGGGGCTCATCCATGCTTGGTGGCTTCTCCATTTGTCATGGGGAGCTCACCCCTGAAGGACACCCGAGCTGATGAAGTGCGTAAGGGAGGACAGCATCCCGGGCAAAAGCGTGCCTGGCTTCCTCAGTGACATCCCCGTGCCCCCTCGTCCCCACCTCCGCCAGGAATGCAAGCCCAGGCCCTCTGTGGAGTGTCTGCATGCCCATGGCAGCCCCCAAGCCAGAGCCAGCCCACGGCTAGAGGAAGAGACAGGCAGGAAGGTCCTGGGGAGGTCTGATCAGGAACCTCACCTGTGGACCTTGGCAACCTCGGCGGGGACACCTTAAGGTAGTGAAGCCTGGCAGCGTCCAAGCATTGAAGGAAGTTGCACCCCACCTCTGCCTGTTGTGCCCAGGATGCTGGGCCCCAGCAGGCGAAGGAAGCTACAATGGTGATGTGCACACCCACCCCCAGGCCTGCAGATGGTACTTAAAAGTCACAGACCCATCCTTTCCACAAGGAAAGGGCTCACTTTCCCTCCTTTTCCCTCATCTGGCCTCACAGCAACCAGGAGGGCAGCCGGGCAACCCAGCGCATGGAAAAGAATACCCCTGCCGAAAAGGGGCAGGTGCCACAGAATCTGGCTCTCTGGGAGGGTGACACACAGACCCAGAGAAGGCTGGGCCCCCGCTGTCACAGAGCAAAGGACAGGACGGCTGGGGAAAACTTTCCCATGCCAGGCGCTTCACAGGGGTCATTTCCCTCTCCCCGGGAGCTTCGGCAATGCGCTTGTGGGGGGTCCCTGCTGGCTGCACTCAGAGCGAAGGAGCAGGCACCTGCGGCTGCTGGAACCAAGTGGGCCTCCCGACCCTGCATCTGCTCCCAGCAGCTCCCCAGAAGGCCAGGATACCCCCAGCACTGCACCCCAACACCACCCTGGCACATCCACAAACCACTGCCCCCGGCGCCATCGTGGAAACGCTAAGAAGCCAACATGCCCACTGCAGTGGCCCTGGTGATCTCACTGTTCTCTCAGCGCTCGACCCTGGAAAAGCCAGTGATAGGTGACAAAACGTCACCATGTCCACACGTGGTCCCACCGGGGGTGCTGTCTCACAAATGCCACAACCTCAAGGGTGCAGCCGGGCCTCGGAGCCGCCCACAGGGATGGAAGAC